CAGGACTTGAACTCAACTCTGCACCAAGCGGACCTAACAGACAGCTACAGAACTCTCCACCCCAAATCAACAGAATATACATTCTTCTCAGCACCACATCGCACTTAGTCCAAAATTGACCACATAATTGGAAGTAAAGCACTCCTCAGCAAATGTAAAAGAACAGAAATTATAACAAACTGTCTCTCAGACCACAGTGCAATCAAACTAGAACTCAGGATGAAGAAATTCACTCAAAACTGCTCAACTACATGGACACTGAACAACCTGCTCCTGAAAGACTACTGGGTACAAAACGAAATGAAGGCAGAAATAAAGATGTTCTTTGAAACCAATGAGGACAAAGACACAACATACCAGAATCTCTGGGACATATTTAAAGCAGTGTGTAGAGGGAAATCTATAGCACTAAATGTCCACAAGAGAAAGCAGGAAAGATCTAAAATTGACAACCTAACATCACAATTAAAAGAACTAGAGAAGCAAGAGCAAACACATTCAAAAGCTAGCAGAAAGCAAGAAATAACTAAGATCAGAGCAGAACTGAAGGAGATAGAGACACAAAAAATCCTTCAAAAAATCAATGAATCCAGGAGCTCGTTTTTTGAAAAGATCAACAAAACTGATAGACCGCTAGCAAAACTAATGAAGAAGAAAAGAGTTAAGAATCAAATAGACGCAATAAAAAATGATAAAGGGGTTATCACCACTGATCCAACAGAAACACAAACTACCATCAGAGAATACTATAAACACCTCTACACAAATAAACTAGAAAATCGAGAAGAAATGGATAAATTCCTGGACACACACACTCTCCCAAGACTAAACCAGGAAGAAGTTGAATTCCTGAAAAGACCAATAACAGGCTCTGAAATTGAGGCAATAATCAATAGCCTACTAACCAAAAAAAGTCCGGGACCAGACGGATTCACAGCCAAATTCTACATACAAGCAGGAACTGGTACCATTCCTTCTGAAACTACTCCAATAGATAGAAAAAGAGGGAATCCTCCCTAACTCATTTTATGAGGCCAACATCATCCTGATACCAAAGCTTGGCAGAGACACAACAAAAAAAGAGAATTTTGGACCAATATCCCTGATGAACATTGATGCAAAAATCCTCAATAAAATACTGGCAAACTGAATCCAGAAGCACATCAAAATCCACCATGATCAAGTGGGCTTCATCCCTGGGATGCAAGGCTGGTTCAATATATGCAAATCAATAAATGTAATCCATCATATAAACAGAACTAAAGACAAAAACCACATGATTATCTCAATAGATGCAGAAAAGGCCTTCGACAAAATTCAACAGCCCTTCATGCTAAAAATTCTCAATAAATTTGGTATTGATGGGACGTATCTCAAAATAATAAGAACTATTTATGACAAACCCACAGCCAGTATAATACTGAGTGGGCAAAAACTTGAAGCATTCCCTTTGAAAACTGGCACAAGACAGGGATGCCCTCTCTCACCACTCCTATTCAACATAGTGTTGGAAGTTCTGGCCAGGGCAATCAGGCAGGAGAAAGAAATAAAGGGTATTCAGTTAGGAAAAGAGGAAGTCAGACTGTCCCTGTTTGCAGATGACATGATTGTATATTTAGAAAACCCCATCGCATCAGCCCAAAATCCCCTTAAGCTGATAAGTAACTTCAGCAAAATCTCAGGATACAAAATCAATGTGCAAAAATCACAAGCATTCCTATACACTAATAACAGACAAACAGAGAGCCAAATCATGAGTGAACTCCCATTCACAATTGCTTCAAAGAGAATAAAATACCTAGGAATCCAACTTACAAGGGATGTGAAGGACCTCTTCAAAGAGAACTACAGACCACTGCTCAATGAAATAAAAGAGGATACAAACAAATGGAAGAACATTCCATGCTCATGGATAGGAAGAATCAATATCGTGAAAATGGCCATGCTGCCCTAGGTAATTTATAGATTCAATGCCATCCCCATTAAGCTACCAGTGACTTTCTTCACAGAATGGGAAAAACTACTTTAAAGTTTATATGGAACCAAAAAAGAGCCCACATTGCCAAGACAATCCCAAGCCAAAAGAACAAAGCTGGAGGCATCATGCTACCTGACTTCAAACTATACTACAAGGCTACCATAACCAAAACAGCATGGTACTGGTACCAAAACAGAGATATAGACCTATGGAACAGAACAGAGCCCTCAGAAATAATGCCACACATCTACAACCATCTGATCTTTGATAAACCTGACAAAAACAAGAAATGGGGAAAAAATTCCCTATTTAATAAATGGTGCTGGGAAAACTGGCTAGCCATATGTAGAAAGCTGAAACTGGATACCTTCCTTACACCTTACACAAAAATGAATTCAAGATGAATTAAAGACTTAAGTGTTAGACCTAATACTATAAAAACCCTAGAAGAAAACCTAGGCAATAGCATTCAGGACATAGGCACGGGCAAGGACTTCATGTCTAAAACACCAAAAGCAATGGCAACAAAAGCCAGAATTGACAAATGGGATCTAATTAAACTAAAGCGCTTCTGCACAGCAAAATAAACTACCATCAGAGTGAAAAGGCAACCTACAGAATGGGAGAAAATTTTTGCAATCTACTCCTCTGACAAAGGGCTAATATCCAGAATCTACAAAGAACTTAAACAAATTTACAAGAAAAAAATCAAACAACCCCATCAAAAAGTGGGCAAAGGATATGAACAGACACTTCTCAAAGGAAGACATTATGCAGCCAACAGATACATGAAAAACTGCTCACCATCACTCACCATCAGAGAAATCCAAATCAAAACCACAATGAGATACCATCTCACACCAGTTAGAATGGTGATCATTAAAAAGTCAGGAAACAACAGATGCTGGAGAGGATGTGGAGAAATAGGAACACTTTTACACTGTTGGTGGGACTGTAAACTAGTGCAACCATTGTGGAAGACAGTGTGGCGATTCCTCAAGGATCTAGAACTAGAAATACCATTTGACTCAGCCATCCCATTACTGGGTATATACCCAAAGGATTATAAATCATGCTGCTATAAAGACACATGCACACGTATGTTTATTGCGGCACTATTCACAATAGCAAAGACTTGGAACCAACCCAAATGCCCATCAATGATAGACTGGATTAAGAAAATGTGGCACATATACACCATGGAATACTACGCAGCCATAAAAAAAGGATGAGTTCATGTCCTTTGTAGGGACATGGATGAAGCTGGAAACCATCATTCTGAGCAAACTATCGCAAGAACAGAAAACCAAACACCGCATGTTCTCACTCATAGGTGGTAATTGAACAATGAGATCACTTGGACACAGGAAGGGGAACATCACACACCGGGCCTGTCGTGGGGAGGGGGGAGGGATAGCATTAGGAGAGATACCTAATGTAAATGAGTTAATGGGTGCAGCACACCAACATGGCACATGTATACCTACGCAACAAACCTGCAAGTTGTGCACATGTACCCTAGAACTTAAAGTATAATACAAAAATAATAATAATAATGCTAAAAAACAAAACAAAAACAAAAACAAAAATAGAACAGCATATCCCAGAGGGGGCTGACCTGTCAGCCTGAAACTCAGAGAGAAGAGGGTGTGGAGCAGAGTCACAGTTAGCCCACGACCGATGAAGACAGCAGAAAGAAGAAAGACACTCTTTCTGACTGCGAGCCATCGAGAGACGGGGCCGTGATTACCACACTGAACCCACCTAAGCACTCGATCAACCTCCGAATGATTGTACGTCAGGGCCAAAAAGATTTAAACGCTATTTATGACTTTACTGATTAAATGCCTTCCTGGGGGAGTTCCCGTTTTGGCCTGAAAGTTAAATGTCAGTGTCTATCATCAAGCCTGAATCCCACGCCTATCCTGGATGCTGGGAGACCCCGGAGGCTGGCATTTGTACCCCTCCACATCCAGCTCACTAGAGCCAAACCTGAATCCCCCTTGAGGGCCAGTCACCATGATCCCTGATGCCAACAAGGATTAGACAGTTACCATCTGCCAGTGGAACTGCCAGCGGACTCTAAGAACCACATGAGGCGGTTCTATGATTGAGCGGTTAAGATCTCAGAGCTAGACAGCCTGGATGTAAACTTGGGGTCCCTTCCTCACTAACTGGATAACCACGAACAGGTTACTTTCTCTCTCTGTGCCTTGATTTCTTCAGTTAACGTCTCCACACTTTGGTTATCATTCTTTAAAATGGTAACCATTTATGGGACTGTTTTAGAGACAAATGACTTAGTATGTGTAAATTGTAGAGAATAGTTCCTGATACAGGTTTTGTTCTCCATAAATAATAATTATTTTCATTATCATTAACATTATTATAGTCTTCATGTGACAGGAGGCAAACCAATGCATAGAGAGGTTGGGTGACTCATCCAAAGCCACACAGCCTGTCAACAGTAAAGTTAAGTGTGTCTCCTCCCTAATCCAGGGAGATAACATCTGAACAGGGACCCAGCCTCAAATGGCCTGCCCACCTGTCTATACCCTGAAAACCCACTTGTCCCCAATTCTCCACAAGCTTTCCCAACCTCTCCGAACAGGCCAATTCCCCTTTTCGTGAAAGGCCTGGAAAGGCCTGTGTGTGCCACTCCATTTGGCATCAAACCATTCACATCGTGTTACTGGTGACTGCGTTCTGGGTGTCAGGGTCCTCTCCCACTGTGGCTGTGACATTCTTTCAAGGCCAGGGCTGTCATATTACCTGGTGGTCACCACAGTGCCCTTTCCAGAAATATGCCGGAGTAAGCCCAGATGATCTGAGAAGGTGCACAGCAAGAAGAGAACACCCTGGGCAGGGCAGGGAGCCATCACTCACTTGGATGGGCTCAGCCTCCCGCAGAGACAGCACTGGGTCAGTTCCCTCAGTGAACAAAGAGGCTACTGTTTGGTGAAAAGTAGGCAAAGCTAACCATGGTTCAGGCATTTGAGGAAAAATGGAGAACACAACTCACCTGAGGCCTAGCTTTCAGGAATGAATTGGTTGTTCCCTTTTCTCCTGGGAATCTCTCTGGAGGAAGAGCAGGATTCTGAGAAGGGGAAGCTGGGAAGGTAGAAGGAGACATGAGGGAAGCTGACCCTGCTGGCACACACAGCTCTCAGACTTCCCAAGCCTGAGACCCAGAACAGCTCTGAATGTCACCTCCGTGGTCCTGAGGACACCAGTGGGTCAAAGGGATCTGAGAGGCAGCTTCTAGCCTTCAAACATTGAGAGAAGCGCCCCTGTACACAGCTGCATGAGGCTCCCATCTGTCCAGAGGCCCACATCAGTCTACAGGTGAGTGAAGTGTGACCAGTCTGGCCACACCACTGAAGTTATTTGCTGGGCATACGGTATGCAGGTCATCTCCTAGGACTTTTGGAAATATAAACATGGAAAAGACCTTCAAGGAACTTTACATCTAGCCTACAGGTTAACAACTACACAAGACCCAAGGCAAGGCCATGCGGGATGATGAGGCTTTAAGGGAAGGAAGTTACACCTCTCCCCTCATCCTTGGGAACCCAGCTCAGAGGCTACCTCTTCCTGAGAAGCTGCCCCTGGTGTTCCCAAGCTCTGTTAGGTCTCTGCAGCACACATGAGAGCTCCTTCATTAAAAGGCTTTGTATCATACTGTTTGTAAAGCCTTAAAACAAACAAAAAAACTAGCCCAAATCATGCCAGAGAAGTAGTTAAGGCTAACAATATGGATGTAAGCAGGCAGCATAGCACAGGTCGGCACTCCTAAAGCTTCATCTGTGCGTGGATCCCTGAGGATCTTGTTAAACTCTGGTTCAATACTTGCTAAGACCCTGTTTGAGGATGTGTGGGGCCCCAGAGTCTGCAATTCTAGAGAGCTTCTGGACAGTGCCTCTGCTGGTGCCAGAGCCACACTGATTAGCAAGGGTATAAAGGAAAAAAGGGTTGGGAGGCCCAGGGACTGGGCCCAGTTCTTCCACTGGCCAGTTTCGTGTCCTTGAGCATGTGCACTGAAGGATGAACAGTCGGATTAAAACGCCCACCTGGTGAAAGACAGGACGTTCTAAACTTAGGACTGGCTTAAAATCTCCTGGGTCCCCTGGATTGCCCTGCTCCAGTGCTACTGGGGGAAGGGCTCACAGGCGGTGCCAACCATGTACACTGCTGACCTTACACACTGCTGAGCTGGAAGGGCTGGAAGAACCTTATTAGTGAGGTGATTAAGGAGGTGGATGACAAGACTCCAAATGGCCCTATTGTTCTCTGATCCCTGGCCAAGGGCCACTCCCTCTTGGGTTTGCTGGTCCTCTCCCTGCAGCAGCAGGACGAGATCAGATCCTCTTCTGCTCTCCTCGCTCTCCTCTCTCTCCTCTGGCCATTGGGACAATTTTCCGTGGCCATCCCCTCCACCTCTGCCACGGTCATCGAGAGACCCCTGCCAGACCCAGCAGGCCGCGGCTTCAGCCTCCTGGGTCTGGAAGATTAACTGTTACCACAGGGAAGACAGATGCAGTACAGCCTTCCCCTTCCCCTTCAGTGCGATTCCCCGGCCTCTTCCTGGGGTCCTCATGACATCGGCCCGGTACTAGCTCCCCAAGAGGGCTCCTGGCCCTCTGCACGCTCCAGAGCCAAACCTGATGCTGTGGAGTCCATAGCTGGGGCTAAGGAGCGACGTCCTTTCACTAGGTCCAAATCTCTGTCTTTCGGCCACAGCCCTGTGGTCCTCCCGAGGGTTCAGGGAGCGGGACGCAGGCTGGGGCTGCCTGGGGCACACGGGGCATCCCCAGTAGGCGCGGCGGGGCCAGCGGACCTGCAGGGCCCAGGGCAGGGCCGGCAAACGCGGGTGCGCCCGGCGCCGTGCTCTTCCCCGGCCAATTCCAGCCTCCTCCCCCCGCTCGGCTCCGCCTCAGGACGAGGCTCTGGAACCCAGCTCCCACGTGGATCCACACGCGCAGTGGGCTCAGACCACCAGGAGACACGGCCACAGCCACGACCGCGACGCGGGGGCCCGGCGCCCTTCAGCTGCCCGGAGACAGCAGGGATTTGGTGAGAGCCTCACGGGGCAGGCACAGGCCCCATCAGCCCGGCTTCCCCGCTGCCCCTGCCTAGCTCCGGCCTGCACAGTCCCTAGCGGGGGGCACTCGGAGGGACACGCCCCGCTCTGTAAGGCGCCGGGGAGCGGGCCCAGGACAGGTGTGCGCGCCCGCAGTCTCCGAACGCGCACGGGGCTAGGCCCAGCCCCGCCTCCCGAGGCCGTCCCCAGCTCGCGCAGACGCGGCCGCCGCCGAGGCCCTTCGGAGCGAGCGCCGGGGGTTGGGGGCGGGGTGGGGGGCGCGGCGAGGCCCGAGAGGACCTCAGCGGGGAAGGGCCGTGCGCGCCGGCTTTCACCCCGCTCTCCCTGGAGGGCCGCACCTACAAGCGTTTCCGCTCTCGCGCGTGCCTTTGGTACCCGAGCCTCATCTCCCTCTCCTTTTCTGGAGACAGGCTCACTCTGTCGCCCAGGTTGGAGTGCAGTGGCGTGCTCTCGGCCCACCGCAACCTCTGCCTTCTGGATACAAGCAATTCTCCTGTCTCAGCCTCCGTAGTAGCTAGGATTACAGGTGCCCGCCACCATGCCCAGCTAATTTGTTGTATTTTTAGTGGAGACGGGGTTTCACTATGTTAGCCAGGCTGGTGTCTAACTGCTGACCTCAGATGATCCTCCCACCTCAGCTTCCCAAAGTGCTGCAATTACAGGTGTGAGCCACCGCGCCCAAGCCGCATATCTCGATGTAAGGCTGTTCAGCAGAAGCCGCAGTCCTACCCTGGATCTGCCGAGTGAGGATTTCCAGGAGGTTCTCCTGGCTGCCTAGGAGATACTGGGGGCTCAGTGCTAGATACTGCTTCTACAGGCTGCCCCGTGCCTCTTGCCTTTCTCCATCTGCCCCTGAATTCAGCGAAGGGTGATGGAGAACAAAAGAGGATTTTGGATGCCCTCCTACTCCAGAAACAAATATCATTTAGGACCCAAAAGAAATGGAAAAATGGCCTGCTATGGTCTGAATGTATGTGTCCCCTTCAAATTCATATGTTGAAACCTAACTCCCAAGGTGATAGTATTAAGAGATGGAGCCTTTGGAAGACTCTGCCCTCATGAATGAGATTAGTGCCCTTTAAAAACAGGCCTTAGACCGGGCATGGTGGCTCACATCTGTAATCCCAGCACTCTGGGAGGCCAAGACGGGCAGATCACATGAGGTCAGGAGTTTTAGACCAGCCTGGCCAACATGGTGAAACCCTGTCTCTACCAAAAACATATTTTAAAAAATTAGCTGGGCGTGGTGGTGCACGCCTGTAATCCCAGCTACTCAGAAGGCTGAGACAGGAGAATTGCTTGAACCTGGGAGGTGGAGGTTGTAGTGAGCCAAGATCATGCCACTGCACTCCAGCCTGGGCAACAGAGCGAGACTCCATCTCAAAAAAATAAATAAATAAATAAATAAAATAAAAATAAAAACGGGCCTTCGCTCCCTTTGCTCCTTCTGCCATCTGAGGACACAGAAGGTGCCATCTATGAGAAACGCACCCTCACCAGCCCCTGAATCAGCTGGCATGTTGATACTGGATTTCCCAGCCTCCAGAACTGTGGACAACAAATTTGTATTGTTTACAAATCACCCACTTTAAGATACTCTGTTAGAGCAGCGCTGAGGCCTAAGGCACAGTCTGAGTATTAAAACAGTGGTTTTCTCGAGGCAGCCCTCAGCCAGAGAAGGGCCACTGGTGAGGATAGAGAGATTGGTTTATCAGCTCTATTTAGGAGTTTGGGACAAAATAACTCACAAAATCAAGGCAAAGAGCCCATTCTCCTTTCCTGCTTTTGCAGTCTGTTTCACTTCTCTGCCAGCACTTCCAGTGACACAGATGGCCAGGATGGCGCAGCAAGCAAGCCCTCGTCCACGCAGGGGGACATTGTCTGGGAACCATGGCTGGTATAGGAGCTTTTCCCTCTTCGGTGCTCTGAACCAAAAAGGTGAGGGGATGGACAAATGAGAAAAGATTTTCATCTCATTGATGGCTCAACAAAACTAGAGATGGAACTACTTCAGATGAACTTGAGGGCCACTGCCTTTTCCTGATGCCCATCCTCTGGGCCTGCTACAGTGTCTAAAATTCCCCAATCTTACATTGTGTCCTTTGGGACAGATCTTGATTCAGAGGCCCTTGTTTGTTACAATGCACGTTAATTATCCCAGGCATATTCTCTCTCCTGCTCAGTGCTCTAGTGCACCATTTCATCTCAAAGCACTGTTGGTGGAGCTCCAGTCCTCACCAGCCTATACACTCTCCACCACCTTCAACATTCCTTTTACTGTTCCTCTGCAAACACATCTTCCACCCCAACCCATGACCACTGCTGTTACCGGTCCCTATAGTTTTGCCTTTTCCTGAATGTCACATAAATGGAATCATACAGTTTGTAAACTTTTTTTTTTTTTTTTTTTTGAGACGGAGTCTCGCTGTCTTCCAGGCGGAGTGCAGTGGCACGATCTTGACTCACCACAACCTCCGCCTCCCGGGTTCATGCCATTCTCCTGCCTCAGCCTCCCGAGTAGCTGGGACTACAGGTACCCGCCACCACGCCCGGCTAATTTTTTGTATTTTTAGTAGAGACGGGGTTTCACCATGTTAGCCAGGATGGTCTCAATCTTCTGACCTCGTGATCCGCCCGCCTCAGCCTCCCAAAGTGCTGGGATTACAGGTATAAGCCACCGCGCCCAGACTACAGTTTGTAAACTTTTAAGACTGGTAGCTGGGTGCAGTGGCTCACACCTGTCTCTGCTAAACCCTGTCTCTACTAAAAAATACAAAAATTAGCCGGGTGTGGTAGTGTGCACCTGTAATCCCAGATACCTAGGAGGCTGAGGCAGGAGAATCGCTGGAACCCAGGGGGCCAAGGTTGCACCACTGCACTCCAGCTTGGGTGACAGAGCAAGGCTCCGTCTTGAAAAAAAAAAAAAAAAAAAAACGGCTTCTTGGCTGCAGTGGCTCACACCTGTAATCCCAGCACTTTGGGAGGCCGAGGTGGGCATATCACCTGAGGTCGGGAATTGGAGACCAGCCTGACCAACATGGAGAAAACCCATCTCTACTAAAAATACAAAATTAGCCGGACGTGATGGCACATGCCTGTAATCCCAGGTACTCTGGAGGCTGAGGCAGAAGAATTGCTTGAACCCAGGAGGCAGAGATTATGGTGAGCCGAGATCGTGCCATTGCACTCCAGCCTGAGCAACAAGAGCGACACTCTGTCTCAAAAAAAAAAAAAAAGGCCATGAAGCCTCTGTCTTGTTCACTGGGACCCTCTTAGAGCCCTGAAATGTGGTGCAAGAAGCCTGACTGCCCCGAGGTCACCATGCTGTGAGAAAGTCCAAGCACAAAGAGATGTTACGTGCGGGGACTAACAGTCCCAGCTGAGCCTGGCCACAGGTGCCAATCTGGGTGCCAGATACAGTCCTCCCAATTGAGGATCCAGAAATTGGGAAGCAGAAGCGAGCTGTGTTAGGCCATTCTGCACTGCTATAAAGAAATACCCGAAACTGGGTAATTTATAAAGAAAAGAGGTTTCATTGGTTCTTGGTTCTTCTGGCTGTACAGGAAGCATGGCACCGGCATGTTTGGCTCCTGGGGAGGCTTCAGGGAGCTTTCACTCACCGTGGAAGGTGAAGTGGGAGCTTGTACTTTGCATGGTGAAAGCAGAAACAAAACAGAGTTGGGGAGGGCAGGAAGGTGCCACACACGTAAAAAACCAGATCTCAGGAGTACTCACTATTACAAGGACAGCACCAAGCCATGAGGGATCTGCCCCCATCACCCAAATAACTCCCACCAGGCCCCATCTCCAACACTGGGGATTACATCTCAACATGAGATTTGGATGGGATATCCAAATGATATCCTTGTGTGCCCATCCCTGTTGTGCCCATCCAAGTTCCCAACCCACAGAATGTGCTGGCCTAATAAAATTGTTGTTTTAAGTCACTAAGTTTGAACTGGTTTGTTAAACAGCATCAGATGGTCATAACATCCTGCAATTTGGCAGAACCTACAAGCTTGTGGGCCCAAGAGATACCTGTTTTACTCTAAAAAAATGAATGTATGTCACTTCTTGGCTGCTTAGCTTCCATATGCTCCCCCTAACTCTTTTGAGAAAATCAGTTAAAATTCTCTTAATCTTTCCAGTAATATGGCAGATTAGATGGCCTAAACAGCCCTCTTAATCAAAAAAACTAAAAATGCTGAAAAATTACAAACATCTTTATAAACACACTGATAAGCAGGCATGAAAGTGAGGAATATGTAAACATTCAAAAAAATAAAGTGAAATGGGCCAGGCACAGTGGCTCATGCCTATAACCCTAGCACTCTGGGAGGCCGAAGAGGGTGGACTGCTTGAGCCCGAGTTTGAAATCAGCCTGGACAACATGGTAAAACCCCATCTCTACAAAAAAAAAAAAAAAATTAGCCGGGCCTGGTGGTGCACACCTGTAGTCCCAGCTACTCTTAAGGCTGAGATGGGAGGACTACGTGAGCCCAGGAGGCGGAGGTTGCAGTGAGCTGAGAGCATGCCACTGCATTCCGGCCTGGCTGACAGAGCCAGAGCCTGTCTCAAAAAACAAATAAATAAAATCAGAGCTAGAATTCTGAGAATCGAGCAACAAACCTGACTTTGAGGCCGCTAAATCCTAGAGAATATAAACTTCCACTTTGTCAGCTACCTGGAAGCAGTAAAGACAAAGCCTAGGGCCTGCCAGTGGGTGCAGAATATTCTAGAAAGAAACACTTTCAGGACCCCAGTTTCCATCCTCAGTATAAAGCTAAATAAATAATAAAAACCACTACACAGCATGGAACAAAAAGAAAATATTTCTCTTATGGATGTTGTGACTTTAATCAAGCTCTAATCTTCTAGGAAGGTCCAAACCCCTTAGTACAACACAAAGTCAGCCACAACCTGGCTTTACCTCAAGATAGTTATTGGCCCCTAAACTTCATCCACAAGCCATTGATTTTGCTACAAATTCTTTTCACTTTTATCCTCTAGACTATGCCTTTGCAGGTGCTATTCTCTGTTTAGATCACACTTTTTTTTCTTAAGTAATTACTTTAAGTACACCAATTATAGGAATCCTTTTCCACCTTTCCCGACCATAGTTAATAGCTTCCTTCCTCCATTGTACTCTCATAGTATGTCGAGGGTGACATAAATGGAGAACATACTGCCTCTATTGTGATTTTTTCCATTGGACCAAGAGTTCATTTGGGTCAGTAACTTACTCAACCGTGCCTTGCTTATGGTGAGCAATTAGGATTTTTTTGAATGAAAGTGTAGTCTTATGGAGATGCAGAGTAGAAGGATGATTAACAGAGACTGGGAAGGGTTGGTGGGGTGGGGAAGTGGCGCTAGTTAATAGGTACAAAAATAGAATAAGAAATAGTATAACTAGTATTTGATAGCACATCGGAGTAACTACAGCCAATAATATTGAACATTTTAAAGTAATTAAAGGAATATAACTGAATTGTTTGTAATACAAAGGATAAATGCTTGAGGTAATGGATATCCCATTTATCCTGATGAGATTATTACGATTGCATGCCTGTGTCAAAATATCTCAGGTGGCCCATAAATGTTTAACCTACTGTGTACCCCCAAAAAACTTAAAAAAAAAAAAAGAAGTATTAACCTGGAAAAATGTAGTTTTGTAGGATTTTATAATATTCTTTGTAATTTTCAGTCTTCCCTGAGCTATAGCTCAATGGTTCTTAGCTTTAGCTGCACGTTAGAGTCACCTGCAGCTCTTTGCACACTTTCGCTCCACAGCTGGGCCTCAGGCATCAATGTCTAAAGCTCTCCGGGTGATCGTAGCTTGCAGCCAGCGCCCTTCCAGCAACTGGTGTGCGCTCAAGCTGTCGGGAGTCGGACCAGCTGCACAGTTAATACATATATGTCCTAGGCTCTTCTCTCCTTCCAACGCAAATATGTGCACAGACCCTGCCTGGAACCGCAGCCCTGTTCTCAGAACCAAACTGCCTCTCGGGCCAAAATTCCAGAATCAAATTTCTGCAAGTGGACAAACGGAAGCGGAAATAAGCCCTTTCCCAACGCTAGATGACTCGATTTCGTCTCGGTCTTCCCCTGCGGGCTGGGCAGAGGCACCAGGATCAGACAGACACATTCCCTGTGGACGGCGCTCCCATCGGATGACTGGAGGGACTGGACACCAGACGCAGGCAGTACTTCAGGGTGACCATAAGTCTCCCAAACATCCACAACGGCTCGCTCTCTCAGCTAAGGTGACAGCGCTGCCATTTTGGATCCTGTTCAGCCGCGCGAAGCCGGCGTTCGCACAGATTTTCGTACGTCATATTAAAGCGCACCGGGCGCGCAGACTTCTGGGAGATGAAGTCCTTGCGAAGGCAGCGCATTGATTGGGAGCGCGGGCGCCAGGACCTTTTGCGCAGGCGCGTTGCTTACCCGACCTGAAGAGGCGCCGTCTTCCCGGGTCCCGAGCACTCTGTGCCGGAGGTGAGGGTTGTGGGTGTGTGTCTTCGAGGAGCGGAGAGAGCGCAGCAGCTTAGAGACGGGACTTGAGAACTTTGGGGAGGTGTTGTGGGAGCAAAACGGGGTGACAGGGGCGAGGCCAGCAGAGCGTGTGTCGCGACGACTCGGTGCGGAGGGAAAGTTGTGCACCCACCCCTGTGTGTGCGTGTGCCCCGTGGGGTCTGGGCACCCATTGTCTGTCGGTCCCGGACTTTCAGGTTGGAGGTTTGGAGTCTTCCTCCGCCTCTCCCGTTTCTTCTTCCCATAATGGGTGCTTAATGAACGTGGGTGGAATTGACACCAAATTTAGGGTGCTGCCCGCTCCCTCTTTCCCAGCAAGCGCCTCAGCTTGCCTCATTTAGCTCCCTGCCCTGGGCCTCCGCATGAGTGCTGGAGGGCTTCATGGAGGAGGTGGGATTTGACGTGAAAAAAAAAGAAAAAACCAGGAAAGCAGCAGCTAAGCGTTAGGCAGATTTGAGCTGGAGAGAATGTTTACAGAAATTTAGCAACAGTGGTAGACAAGGTTGAAGAAAAGGTACGCTGAGAGCTCGGGCCCGGGACTCAGAGAATCAGGACAAGACCCAGTAGGCAAGGTGGCTTGTATAGGTGTGATCCAGGGACTGACACGAATCAAACTATTTGGGGACAGTTGTTCTAGAGGTCACATTCAGGACTAGAGAGGGGAAAGGACCAGAAGCAGAGAGCCAGTTAGGGACGTATGGCAGTTTTGAAGTAAGCTGTTGCGGACCTGAATTCAGGTGGTGGTAGTGAAAGGGAAGGATACAGATGACATTGCAGAAGAAGAGTCAAAAGGGCCTGGTGACTAGATTTGGGGGGAAAGAGAGTGAGGTAAGAGTTTGAGTTTGGGACACCTGGGAGAAGAATAAAACATCTGATACAAATGTAAAGCCAGGAAGAGGCGTGGATGTGGGGAATTGCCTAAAGGGAGATAGTTTTGAGGTGATGGCGGAACGCCTAATTCAAGGTTTGCAGTCATTTGGAAATGCAGGATGAGTTTGGAAGAATGCAGTACAGTTGTACAATTACAATACAGTTACAGGACATGGACATCTGTAGAGTTGGAAAATGGAGCCCTGAGTGTGGATGGACTTTCTGAGGGATGGCAAAAATGAAGAAAGTACAAAGCCTGAGCTATGGGCAGCATCCATGTTTCTAGGGCAAAAGTGGGGAAAAAGAGTCACAGAGAGACAGCAATTTTAGTGGTTGGAAGAAAGGCTAGTGCAGTATCATAGCAGTTACAGTAACCACTGGAACAAGCAGAAGCTTGTCAGAACAGTGAAAAGCTACAGAGAAACAGAGATAAGATCAGAAATGCATTGGTAGGCCGGGTGCAGTGGCTCATGCCTGTAATCCCAGCACTTTGGGAAGCCGAGGTGGGCAGATCACTTGAGGTCAGGAGTTCAAGACCAGCCTAGCCAACATGGTGAAACCCCATCTCTATAAAAATACAAAAATTAGCTACTCGGGAGGCTTTGGTGGGAGAATCACTTGAACCTGAGAGGTGGAGGTTGCAGTGAGCTGAGATCATGCCATTGCACTTCAGCCTGGGTGACAAGAGTGAAACTCTGCCTCAAAATAAAACGGGTAGCTTTCAAGCATGCCCTTTCAGGTGTGTGAGGGGCAAAACTGAAAAACAGGGACTGGAGAAGAGTAAGTGGTGACAGTACGGAGTCAGTAGGTTTGTATTACTTTCCAAAAAGTTTGATCATGAAAGGAAAGCTTAAATGAGAACTGTTTTACTAGAAGGAGGTCATGGGATTCAGTGAAAATAGTTTCAGGTAGAGGAGGCTTGTATGTCTTTGAAGATGTCGAAAGAAAGTACTACTGGGGTGGAAAATGCTGGGGGGGGGAAAGACTGGGGGCCAGGCGCAGTGGCTCATGCCTGTAATCCCAGCACTTTGGGAGGCTGAGGCGGGTGGATCATGAGATCAAGAGATTGAAACCATCCTGGCCAAAATGGTGAAACCCTGTCACTACTAAAAATACAAAAATTCTGTAATCCCAGCACTTTGGGAGGCCGAGACGGGTGAATCACGAGGTCAGGAGATCCAGACCATCCTGGCTAACCCGGTGAAACCCTGTCTCTACTAAAAAACACAAAAAACTAGCCGAGCGAGGTGGCGGGCGCCTGTAGTCCCAGCTACTCCGGAGGCTCAGGTAGGAGAATGGCGTGAACCCAGGAGGCGGAACTTGCAGTGAGCTGAGATCTGGCCACTGCACTCCAGCCTGGGCGACAGAGCGAGACTCCGTCTCAAAAAATAAAAATAAAAAATAAAAAAATAAAAATACAAAAATTAGCTGGGCGTGGTGGTGCATGCCTGTAGTCCCAGCTACTCCGGAGGCTGAGGCAGGAGACTGGCATGAACCCAGGAGGCGGAGCTTGCAGTGAGCCGATATCGCGCCACTGCACTCCAGCCTGGGCCACAGAGCAAGACTCCGTCTCCAAAAAAAAAAAGAAAAAAGTTAGAACACAGGTAAAGTCCTGGAGACAGACATTTCTGTCTTGTTGACCTCACACATCTTGCTGTCTAGCACATAACGGCTACTTGGTACATAGTCGTTGAATAGTGCAATAAGTGGATGGATTGCACTGAGCAGTAGAAAGGAAGAGAACTTGTATTTGTTGAATGAACTGGATGATAAATGCTTTATATTAATGGTCTTACCATTTGTAACTACTCTGTGAGTTAGGCAGCAAACAACTATTGGCTTAAGTAACTCATCCAAGACTTCATGGTTAATAATTCCATGCCTGTGTAGTGCTTTCTACCATATAACCCTGCTTCCCTTGAAACTCATTCCTGGGAATCTTTGGTGTGGTAGAAGACAAAAGTTATGCAGAAATTTCTTGCTTATACTTAGCTAAACTTGTTTTTCCAATAAGTTTTTGGTTGTTTTTCACATAGTTTTTGCAAACTGGTATTCACCCTCAAGGTAATATTCCTTTAAAATTTTGCTTGGCCAGTGTGAACCCATTATTAAATAACCCTGAGCTGCCTGGCAACCTGTAACTCTTAAGCTATAATGATTTATTTTCATGAAAAGATAGCAAAGGTAACAGACCAATAGACTACAACAGAAAATTCCCAAATATCCAAGAATAAGATAGCCCCATTATAGAATAGAGTTAAATGCTGCCAGACAGACTAGTAAATATCTATTGATCTGGTCTTTTGGCATTTTTGAAAACTTAGTTGTTCCTTATTTGTATCTTTGATTCATAAGTCTAGCTGTAGGACTCACCTCCTAAGGGAGAAAGGATGAAATCTGCGGTTACTATGCCTCTTTGGAACCAGAGGTAGGTTCATTGTTAGTAGAGCCCATTTTTCTTTCTACCTGTAGTTACCTGTAGCCCCAGTACTGATTAGTCCTCCCTGTTTGGGGTATGTATTTCCGTGCCTGGAATTACCTGGTTTATTCCCATTCCAAATTTCTTTTTACATACTTAGATGAGTAGATACAAGTATATATCCCAAGGGTACATCTATACTTTATGAATAGTCATACAATTAATAGAAAAAGTACCTTTTTATATAACTTAAGTTTTAAACATTGCCTTCCTTGTATTGCAACTTTTATGGCATACTTTATATTAACTTCTCTATTTTGAGTATGAAACTCATAGCCCTTCAAATTTCAAATTATTTTATTTAGCACTAATGATTTTTATTACTTATCTGGCCAGTGGGAGCCAGAGTCATCTGAGTTTTCTTATTCAAGGATATGGGGTCAGCTCAAATTCTGAATGTCCAAAACTGTACTCATTGGTTTTCCCTTCAGTCCTCCTTCTCTGTTGCTTATCTCCATGAACAGCATCATTATCCACGCCACAATGGTAACCTGGACATAATTTTTGCCCTCATCACCTTCAGCCTCTTCTTCCAGCCAGTGTATTGTCTGTTCTTCTTCTTCTTCTTTTTTTTTTTTTCCCCAAGACGGAGTCTTGCTCTGTTGCCCAGGCTAGAGTGCAGTGGCGTGATCTTGGCTCATTGCAACCTTTGCCTCCCAGGTTCAAGCGATTCTCTTGCCTCAGCCTCCCAAGTAGCTGGGATTACAGGTGCTCACCACCGTGCCTGGCTCATTTTTGTATTTTTAGTAGAAACAGGGTTTCACCATCTTGGCCAGGCTGGTCTTGAACTCCTGACCTCGTGGTCCACCCACCTCGGCCTCCCAAAGTGCTGAGATTACAGGTGTGAGCCACTGCGCCTGGCCTGTCTGTTCTTAATAGCTTGACAGCAGTTTCCTCCATTTCTGCTTTCACAGCTTTCATTCAGTTTGTCATCTTTCTTATTGAAGTACAGCACTCTCCTCAATGGTCTGCTCACCTCCATTCTTTCCTTCCTGTAATCCCATCACACCACAGCCACTCAGTGTGGCGTGGCCACCTGTGTTGGGGTCCCCAGGATCACCCCAGGTTCAGGGATTCACTAGAAGGACTCAAGACTCGACCTGTAGTTGTACTTCTGGCTAAGAGTATGATGATGGCCCTGCAAGGACAGGCAGCCAGATCATAAGGGGAAAAGACAAGCCGGGTAGAGGAATCCACGTACAGGCTTCTATTCTCCTTCTCCCATGAGGGTGTCACATGGAGCACACTCCTTCCCCCAGCAACGAAAATGCAGCAACAATCTCTGCTCAAGGCAGCTCACTGGAGACTCAGTCCAAGGTGTTTTTTTTTTGTTTTTTTGTTTTTTTTTTTTTGTTTTTTTTTTGAGACGGAGTCTCGCTCTGTCGCCCAGGCTGGAGTGCAGTGGCGCAATCTCGGCTCACCGCAAGCTCCGCCTCCCGGGTTCACGCCATTCTCCTGCCTCAGCCTCCCGAGTAGCTGGGACTACAGGCGCCCGCCACTGCGCCCGGCTAATTTTTTTCTATTTTTTAGTAGAGACGGGGTTTCACCATGGTCTCGATCTCCTGACCTTGTGATCCGCCCGCCTCGGCCTCCCAAAGTGCTGGGATTACAGGCGTGAGCCACCGCGCCCGTCAGCCCAAGTTTTTACTGAGAGCTGGTCACCTAGGCACCATCTGTCTAACACATACCAAAATTCCAGAGCCTCCAATAGGAAAGCATATGTTCACCATAAACCACATTGTTTGCATAAATAGTTTAGGCATAGTAGACCCCCGTTACCTCTTAGGGAACTGGGGAACCCTCTCAAAATCGAGGTTTCCAGCTGCCAGCAAAGGGCCAGCATGCAAGCGGAACTTCCTAGGAATAGCAGTCTCAGGTCCGCTATAACTTTTCTGCACACCACTCTTCTTTCCTTCCTGTTATTTTTTCTGTACACCAAAATAAGGATATACTCTTGCTGAAAAAAATGTATAAAGAATGGTAAGAAAATAAAAATCTCTTATAACTCACCACTGAAATTTCATTCACATTTTAATGTGTTCATCCTTTTTCTATACATAATGTGCACGTACAAGTATGTAATTTTAAGAGTGTACATTCTTCACGTAGTATTTTTGAATTTCTTAGTGGTTTTTTTTTTTTTTTTTTTGAGATGGAGTCTCACTCTTTCACCCAGGCTGGAGTGCAGTGGCATGATCTCAGCTCACTGCAACCTCTGCCTTCCAGGTTCAAGCGATTCTCCTGCCTTAGCCTCTGGAGTAGCTGGGACTACAGCCATGTGCCACCATGCCTGGCTAATTTTTGTATTTTTAGTAGAGATGGGATTTCACCATGTTGGCCAAACTGGGCTCAAACTCCTAACCTCAAGTGATCCGCATGCCTCGACCTTCCAAAGTGCTGGGATTACAGGTGTGAGCCACTGCGCCTGGCCATTCTTTGTGAGTTTTTTTCAATTTTTGATTTTTTTTTTGTAAGAAACAAAGCATTATAAAGCTGAAGTATCCTGGGTATCCCTCCCCAGTCTTATTTCCCTATCTTCTCAGATATGTACACATTGGTGCTTATTGTCCCATGTGTTAATAGATTTTTACAGGTATTATCTACCTGTTTTTAAATTTTATGTAAATATTATACAGTAAGTCATTCTATAACTTATTTTTTGCCCAGTAATTATGTTTTTTTGCGATTTATCTCTGTTAATAATGTATAATATTCATATATCTGTATATATTCACAAATCTATTATCTGATTAATGGACATTGAAGTTGTTTGCAGTTTATCACTAGTGATGTTCTCCCCACTGACTTGTAATGCCACCTCAGTCACACATCAGGCTTCCCTAATGCTTGGATATGTTTTGGGATTTTCTGTTCTAGTCTATTCATCTGTAACTGATGTGGCTATCTTTTCATGAAAATAAATCATGATAGCATAAAAGTTAAAAGCTCCCAGGCTGACTTGGATTCAAGTTCTACCTCAATTTCTTACAACGCCTTAATTTACTAATATGTAAAATAGTATTTTCCTTATTGATTTATGAGGATGGAGTTAAATTATCCTTATAAAAAGCACTTAGCACAATACCTGGCAAATAGCAAATGCTCAATAATGCTAGTTGTTATTAAGATGATGGGTTTTTTTTGGTTTTGGTTTGGTTTGTTTGAGATGGAGTCTCTCTCTGTCGCCAGGCTGCAGTGCAGTGGCACAATCTTGGCTCCCTGCAACCTCCGCCTCCCGGGTTCAACCAATTCTCCCGCCTCGGCCTCCCGAGTAACTGGGACCACAGGCGCGTGCCACCACACCCAGCTAATTCTTTTGTATTTTTAGTAGAGGCAAGGTTTCACCATTTTGACCAGGATGGTCTCCATCTCTTGACCTCGTGATCCACCTGCCTCGGCCTCCCAAAGTGCTGGGATTACAGGTGTGAGCCAATGCGCCAGGCCAAGATGATGTTTAATAGTGTTCCACTTATGTACGGACTGGACCAGAAATTACTTAACCAAGTCTCCAGATGTTTAAGGTATTTCAAATTTTTGCTGCCTTATTGAAAAGATTAAATGAGATAATACATATAGAGTGCTTAGGAAGTGCCCTGGAACATAGCTGTCAGTAAGGGTTAGTGTTAATGATGAGTCATAAAAAGCTGTGTACACATTATTACTTATTTCCTTAGTATAAATTCCTAGGAGATAATTGCTGGGTCAAACAGTATGTTTCAAGGCCCTTGCTGTAAGTCACAGTGGTTTTTCTAAAGCACAGATGTGATGACATGTCCACACCCAAACCCTTTGGTAACCTCCATGCCTGTGGAGAAAGGGCCGTGCAAAACTCCCCTTGATGAAACTGGCCTCTGCCTACCTCTTTAGCTTCATCTTCCCCACAGCACGACTCACAGCCTAGACTTCTACCATTCTAAGCTGATTTTTGTTGTTAATCCTTTCCATGTAAAGACCTGCCTCCTCCTTTTTGAGAAACTTGGTTTTTTCCTCAAGATTTAGAAGGTTCTGGCTCCTCCCACAAATGAAAACTTAGCTTGGATCCCACTCCTGTCAAGAAAGCTGCAGTGCTCCTCCCTCCACCCCTCCCTGCTGGGCTACGTGAGCCTCTGAGGTGCTCTCATGGATTGCTGTGCGTATCGCTTTGCTGCACTTACACATCCTGGAGTGAAACATTATTTCATTTACTCGTTCGTTCTCTGTGCTAAGCTGTAGCTTCTGGAGGACAAAGACAGTGTCTGACAGTTTTTTTGTGCTTGGTATAAGTAGTTGGTGCTGAATAAATGCTGGTTGAAAGAAGGATGAATGAGTCACAAGAAGCACTGACCATATCCCCTTGACTGTTGGAGAATGGTCAGTGCACCACAAATACGCCTTTTCCTCCTCCTCACGAGGACCACACCATCTCCCAGCCACCATAAATCCCGGAAATGTGGGATTTAATGCTCTTGTTTTATTTTTATATGTTTTATTTTTGTAGAGACCAGGGGTCTTGCTATGTAGCCCAGGCTGGTCTTGAGAACTCCTGGCCTCAAGTGATCCTTCCACCTCAGCCTCCCAAAGTGCTGGGATTACAGACATGCGCCACTGTGCCTGTTGTTTTAATTAGACTCTTGATTGCGAAAACCTGAGACTTCGCTAATCCCAGTAAAGGGAATTAGTAATAAGATCTTGCACAGAGCCCAAGAGGGTTAGAGTATTATGGCAATCTATGAATAAATAAGGCTGGTTTGCATGGAAATTGGACCCGTGGGTGGTGCTAGGCGAGGTGAGGGCCTCCCCAGGAATTCTTAGGTCTCTGCGTCAGTGTTCCACCGCTGGTGGGACTGTGCTGGGCTCCCCCTGCTTGCCCCTGGTCCCGTGGTCTATTACGACCTTTTCTCTACCTCGTACCTCCCACGTGCCCACGGGTTCTGCTGCTGGAAACTTTGGTTCCCCAATCCTCGTGGCTGCTTCGGGACCTCATGATATCCTTTCAGCTAGTCACTTACTTGTCGTGACATTTCTTAGTTCACATTCCCAAGGAAGGATGTCACCCCTTTTCAAGCCAGACCACGTCTCAGTCTACTAGTCACCTATGCATTGCCCACCTGTGGCCTAATCTGTGTGGCTCTGGGAATGAGACACAGGGTCACATGGTACAAAACCTGCCCAAGGGATGGTCGTTTAGCAGGGGCTACGAGTGGGGTCTTTTTCCTTTGAAGAGACTGGATTGTCTTTGATATGTCTTGTCCCTGTAGTCATTTACAAAATTGCTTATGGCTTTTGCCCAGTAATTGTTCACGGCAATACTGAATGTGAGTTTATACATATACGCACTGTGTGAATCTTACACAGTTCTTGACTCTCAGGAATAGAACTCTGCCTCTAGCATCGTGGTAAAACCACCACCACATTGTGGTCTAATTCGCAATTCCATGGTTGTTGGCTCTCATTCTGGGGTGGTCTGGGGTTGTTCCTGGCCTTGCTTGACTTTGACCCCCTTTTGTAAGGTACTGAGAATGACGTATCCCCCGGGTATGGGCTTCATGGGTCAAAACACTATGCGACGGTACTGGTCTTTCTCGTACCTTCTTTCTCACCCCACACTTCTGCTTCATTAGGACTCTGCTCTTGTCTACAGGGAGAGCACACAGGAAAGAATGGCTGCTGTGTCTCCGACCACCAGATGCCAGGTGAGGTGGCCTTTTGTGTTTCCAAAGTACTCCATTCGTCTCCGGAATAGAACCACTTTTCTTTATCCTGGAGCCTCTTTGAGCAGACCCAGCCAGGAAGATGAAGGACTCCACAGGGAGTATTTCTTTCCCATTTCACTTGAGGTATCCTTTAGTGACCTTTTCTTGCCGTGAGCATGTGCCCACTAGCTCGTCACCAGACTTACAACTCCTGGCGCCTTCGCTGTGAGTGATTGTGCCTAGAAGCCAATGGTAGGGTCTGACTGGAAGGTTTGGGGAATAGTGGGCTGGTTCTGGTCCTGACTGTCCCTTTGGTACATTCACTTGTGGACTGAGAGGAGGCCCCAGTGTCCAGGGAGAGTGGGGCTAGGCGGGGATGTGTGGTACACACTGTAGAGCACCTGTCTGCAGGTGCCGAGAGCCCTGAAGAGTCTCCTGTGCTACAGACATGTGGCTTGCTCCATTCCTGCCCAAGGGCAGAGTCTTGAATTCTGCACCCTGGCCTAGAACTTTTGCCAACACACTGGAGACTCATCTGAGGTTTTAGAACTGGAGGTAAAGAGATGCAATCTTACAGAATCACAGAGCATTGGAATGAAATGAGGGGGATCCTACAGATGATCTAATCAATACCATTATTCTAAGGATTTGTAAAAAACAAAGACAATTGGTGAAATCTGAGTAAGATTGTAGATTAGGTAATAGGATAAGATCAATGCTATTTTCTCCTTTTATTTTATTTTTTTGAGACACAGTCTCACTCTGTTGCTTAGGCTGGAGTGCAGTGGCACGACCTCACCTCACTGCAAGCTCCGCCTCCTGGGTTCAAGCGATTCTCCTGCCTCAGCCTCTGGAGTAGCTGGGACTACAGGCGCCGCCACCACGCCTGGCTAATTTTTTTGTATTTTTAGTAGAGATGGGGTTTCACCATGCTAGCCAGGATGGTCTTGATATCCTGTCCTCATGATCTGCCCGCCTTGGCCTCCCAAAGTGCTGGGATTACAGGCATGAGCCACCGTGCCCGGCCTATTTTCTCCATTTTTTATAGTTATACTGTGATTATAACAACACTACACCCTTGTTTTTACAAAACACACATTGAAATATTTAGGATTAAAGACATCTGACGTCGGCAAGTTAGTCAAGAGGCTTAGCAAAAAGATAGGAGAATGTGTATCTAGAGAGAGACAGAAAGATAAAGCAAACGTGGAAAATGCTGCCGTTTGAGGAAGCCAGGTGAAAGGCACACACGGCTTTTTTTGTGCTGGTTTTAGAGGTCTGAAGAACGAGGCTGATACTCAGAAGCTCAGCTGCAGGTGTAGTGCTGTGAGATTCTGACCAAGAGCTCCATGTCCTGGGTGATGAGGCCACTTTTCCCAAGTGCTTTAAAGTTCTACTTAGTCAGTTGTTTTTCTTCCCTCCCACCATGCGTCCTCCAGGGCTGTCATCTTTGACATTTTTGGTCTGGTCCAAATAAAGAGAAGGGTTAAGAGTAAAGGAGAATGTGACTGTATTTTCAGGAATCAGTGACATTCGAAGACGTGGCTGTGGTTTTCACAGATGAAGAGTGGAGTCATCTGGTCCCCATACAGAGGGACCTCTACAAGGAGGTGATGCTGGAGAACTATAACAGCATTGTGTCATTGGGTAAGGGGAGCCTCCATGAGGAGGTACCATCTGTCCTGTGCTAATGTGGGGCTGAGAGGGCTGAGGAATTATTACCTTTCTCCTCCCCACTGAGTTCTGAGCCACTTGAGAGACAAGGTAAGAGTTGAAAGATGTGGCATCAGAGTACAGCAGCGGCGGGCTCAATACTGAACCCCAGCATTGGGCAGACATGCCTCCCCAGCCATGGGCGGTGCTGGACAACCATAGGCTCTCTCGCTCAGCAGCCTGCCCTGGCAAAACGGAGGGAGGGCCAGTGAGGGCTGAGGGAGCGAGTGGAATGTGTGTTAGAGGCAGGGAGCTGGGTCTCCAGAGGGGCAGGCAGAAGACGCTGAGTTCCATATGCCCAGCTCTTCTCCCAACTCGCCAGTCAGGTAACTCAGCTCACCCAGAGGACTGTGCGCTGGGGCAGGGGGCCATCTTGTCGAAATACAGAGTTGTGCCTCTGAGGTCACCAGAGATATGTTTGATTTTGAGTATTTGTCTTAGGTACAGTCTTAGATGCTCACAGAACACACTTTGTAATTATAGAGACTTGTGTGACAAAGAGAAAGTTAAGAGTCACTACTGATTCCGGTATTAGTGAAAAGTAAAGTTGGGCTCCTGGAGGTTATGGGAACCTCTCAGGGGCTTCACGAGTGAGAGGCTGAGGGAGTGCCCAGAATGAGAAGCCGGTTTAAAATCAGCAGCAGTAACAGGACTCACAGTGCAGATTTCCTACCAGGCAGGTCTAAAAGTAAGTGCTAACACCCCCCAGAGTAATGTAATCAGGCCAGTAGTCTCCCAAACAGAATGGAATATTCAGGAAGGAGCCTTTGTTACAGGCCTTAGCAGATGGCTGTTGAGGAAAATAGAGCCCCTGAGGGACCCAGAGCCACAGGGAGATGCTGGGTGTGGCCATTTTGTCAATAGAGAATCCACATAAAACCCAGTAGACAGTCCTTGGGCCCAATAAGAAAGTGCCTGTTTCCCAAGTTGGGGCCTCAACAAAAGGGAAGTTTAGAGCCCAAGCCTATTTCCAGGATCTATTTTTTAATATAACCAAAAATGGATAGATTTGCTTCAGGGAATTTATCCTAAGGAAATAATAGGACTAACAATCCGTGGTATATGGAGATATTCATTACACTATTGTTTGTTAATAGCAAAACATTAAAAATGATCTAAATGTCTGTCATAAGGGAATTCATTAAATAAATTATGTTATCCATACAATGTCATATCCCGTAGCTATTACAATGGTGAGGTAGATCAGTGCTGATTGAAATAAAATAGTATTTTAAATTTATTATGTGAAAAAAAAATCAAGTTTACAAGTCAGCATCATTTCATTATCCAGTTTTTTATTTTTTAATTTAATTTTATTTTTTCATTTGAGAGAGTCTTACTCTGTTGCCTAGACTGGAGTGCAGTGATGCAATCTCGGCTCACTACAACCTCTGTCTCCAGGGTTCAAGCAGTTCTCGTGCCTCAGTCTCCCAAGTAGCTGGGATTACAGCCATGAGCTACCATACCCTGGTAATTTGTGTATTTTTAGTAGAGACGGGGTTTCACCATGTTGGCCAGGCTGGTCTCGAACTCCTGACCTCAGGTGATCTACTCGTCTTGGCCTCCCAAAGTGCTGGGATTACAGGGGGGGCCACTGTGCGCAGCCTCATTATCCAGTTTTTAACAGAATGTATCTAGAGGCATCTTTGGATATCTGAATAGAAAGAAAGAAAATACACTGTATGCAAGGTGATTTTTTTTCTTTTTGCTTGTATACACTTCTAATTTTCCTAGAATGAACTGGACAGATTTGTTTCAATGAAAGCATAGTGCTCAAGGCAAACAAATGAACAAAAATGGGCAGTTTTGATACCCTTTTTTACTCAAGGTGACTTAATTTCATTCTCATCTCCCCTAAGCCTTCATCCTACCAGTACTAACACCGGGAACTTCCCATTCACTTCACGGGGAAGAATAAACGTGTGAATCCACATGGGTTCTCTCAACCTTCTGACCTTGTGCCACTTGCTCCTTTTATAGCCTCAGTCTTGGCCTCTGTCCAGAGTTTCCTCTGCTTTGGACTCTGCATTCTTGGCCTGTGCATTCTGCCTTTTGCATTTTCTCTCTAAAAGACTTAGACACTGTGTCCAGGCACAGTGGCTCATGCCTGTAATCCCAGCTGTTTTGGAGGCCAAGGCAGGCGGATTACCTGAGGTCAGGAGTTCGAGACCAGCGTGGCCATCATGGCAAAGCTCCGTCTCTACTAATAAATACAAAAATTAGCCAGGTGTGGTGGCACCCGCCTGTAATTCCAGCTAGTGGGGAGGCTGAGGCAGGAAAATCACTTGAACCTGGGAGGTGGAGGTTGCAGTGAGCCGAGATCGGGCCACTGCACTCCAGCTGGGGCGACAGAATGAGACTCTGTCTCAACAGCAACAAAAAAGTCTTAGAAGCTGGGATTGAGCTTTGGGAGAGTGATATTTCATCACACACAGCCACTTGCTTTGTTTCTTTCTCTTTGACCAGGCCTTCCAGTTCCTCAACCTGATGTGATTTTCCAGTTGAAGAGAGGGGACAAGCCATGGGTAGTAGATCTGCATGGGTCTGAGGAGAGAGAACGGCCAGAGAGTGTCTCTCTAGGTAACTGAGTGTGAACAGGACAGGATGGAATTTTGTTATTTGGGTGATGGGGGAACATCAGCTCTCGCCTTTCTCTCACATTCCAGTCTTTTGCTTGTTATTTATTGTGTGTCACCCACTAGCTTTCATTTTTTCCCTTTACACCTTAACATGTTATTCGTCTATATTCACCAAGTGTTACTTTCTCACATCTGTAACACGGCGCACTCATGCCTTGCTCTTTCCTTTTTTTTTTCCAAGACAGAGTCTCGCTCTGTTGCCCAGGCTGGAGTGCAGTGGGGCTGTCTCGGCTCACTGTAACCTCCGCCTCCCGGGTTCAAGTGATTCTCCTGCCTCAGCCTCCCAAGTAGCTGGGATTACAGGCGCCCGACACCACACCCGGATAATTTTTGTATTTTAGTGAGATGGGGTTTTGCCATGATGGCCACGCTGGTCTCGAACTCCTGACCTCAGGTGATCCACCCACCTTGGCCTCCCAAAGTGCTGGGATTATAGGAGTGAGCCACTGCGCCCGGCCACACTTTGCTATTTCTATTGAGCGCCATCCATTCCATTTGGCATGCTCTCGTAATTGTGCTGGCCATGCTCCTGCTGGACATTCTCCTGTTTTCTGAGGTGTCCACCATCCGTTCTGTTCCCTGCCACCTTCTTCACTCCCAGGTCTCAGTCCCTCCCTGCAGTGCAGTACTATTTGTGGGAGCAAGCAATGCAGTGACCATACATTACTTTCAGGCTCATGGAAGCATCTCTTCTTTCTGCTGTAATATTTTCTAGTCCAGGAAAAAAAAATGCATCTGTTTTCTGTTTGTTCCAGAAACTAAGCCTGAGATTCATGATGCTTCAGACGAAAAATCAGAAGGATCATTGAGGGAATGCCTTGGAAGGCAAAGTCCTCTGTGTCCTAAATTTGAAGTTTATGCACCCGATGGCAGGATGGGAACAGAAAAGCAAAGCCCTTCAGGGGAGACTCATAAGAAATCTCTCTCCCGGGAGAAAGGCGTGCGGCGAGGGTCAGCCCTGCCCAGGGAAGTTCTCACTAAAGAGAGACACCAGGAATGCAGTGACTGTGGGAAGACCTTTTTTGACCACTCATCCCTCACCCGCCATCAGAGGACTCACACTGGGGAGAAGCCCTACGGCTGCCGTGAGTGTGGGAAAGCCTTCAGCCACAGGAGCAGCCTCAGCAGACACCTGATGTCGCACACCGGGGAGAGCCCGTACGAGTGCAGTGTGTGCGCAAAAGCCTTCTTCGACCGCTCGTCCCTCACTGTCCACCAGCGAATCCACACCGGAGAGAAGCCCTTTCAGTGCAGTGAGTGTGGGAAAGCCTTTTTTGACCGTTCGTCCCTTACTCGACACCAGAGAATTCACACTGGAGAGAGTCCCTATGAATGTCATGAGTGTGGGAAAGCCTTCAGCCAGAAAAGCATTCTCACTCGCCACCAGCTACTCCACACTGGCAGGAAGCCGTACGAGTGTAACGAGTGCGGGAAAGCTTTCTATGGGGTCTCGTCACTGAACAGACATCAGAAGGCTCACGCCGGGGACCCTCGCTATCAGTGTAACGAGTGTGGCAAAGCTTTCTTTGACCGCTCGTCCCTTACGCAGCATCAGAAGATCCACACTGGAGATAAGCCATATGAATGCAGCGAGTGCGGGAAAGCCTTCAGCCAGCGGTGCCGGCTCACGCGGCATCAGCGCGTCCACACGGGAGAGAAGCCCTTTGAGTGCAGTGTGTGTGGGAAAGTTTTCAGTTCAAAATCTTCCGTTATTCAGCATCAGCGGCGTTATGCCAAGCAGGGAATAGACTGAGGAGTTGGGTGAAAGCTTGGGCGGGACAAGAACTTCCATACAAATTCGAGATAGGTCTCCCCTGTCTTAAACAAAGCTGCCATTTGCTCATTCTACCCACCCTGGCTGCCACTGTCCTGGCCTGCTTGTGCACCAGAGTGTTCAATAGGCACTCCCTTCCTGCTGTGTTACAGAACTGCAGGCAGGCCACGGAGATGACTCCCTTCCTGCCGTGTTACAGAACTGCAGGCAGGCCACGGAGATGACTCCCTTCCTGCCGTGTCACAGAACTGCAGGGAGGCCACGGAGATGAATCCCTTCCTGCCATGTCACAGAACTGCAGGCAGGCCACGGAGATGACTCCCTTCCTGCTGTGTTATAGAACCGCAGGCAGGCCATGGAAATGACTCTTAACGATACAAAAGTTTGATGAGGTTTGTCAGACAACAGGATAGATGTTAGGAGGAGACACACCTCTTGTCTGAGAACCTAGGCCCCAGGTATCACTGCACTTTAAGTAACTGGCGGCTGCAGCAGGAGGGAAAGGCAGAATGATATCAGAGCAGTACTATTTTTTTTCAGAACAGTTGTTTTGATGGCTGTTTTAGTCCCCCTGTCTTGGAGCTTTTTGGGGCCCTAATCTTGTTCTCTTGTGTCCCAGCTTTTAGATCTCTTCCTTCTACTGCTAGTAGCTGGCACTTCCTGAGCGCTTACGATGAGGTAAAGACTCAGCTAAGGGTTTTACAGGAAGTAGATTAACTGATCCTGTCGCCAACCCTATGAAGTAGGCACTGTTACCATCTGCATCTCTAGATGAGCACCCTGAGGTTTATAGAGATTAAATCACTTGCCCAAGGTGACCCAGCTGGTAAAAGGTGATGCCAGGTCTTGAAGACAGGTCCACCTTCAAAGTCTATTTTCTTTACCATTATGCTCGATGGTTTGTTTTATAATTTATGTATATGTATTATCCTCTCAACTAGATTGTAAGCACTTGGAGGTGTGACTTACAGGTCTTTGTATCTCACACAGTGCCTTGCTAATGGGTGCTCAATAAATATTTATATGAATGAATGACTTTTCTACTTACCAGATTCTCTCCATTCAAAACACCTTTTGGATTTGCATTCTTTGTCTGAATTCACAGCCCAGCCTACACTTTTATCATTCCCAGCTCCCACTCCTGGCAGCAGTAGCTTCCTAATTCCAATTCTTCCCACTTGATTGTTGAAGAGGGATGTGCTAAGATGTGGTACAGTAATAGCCCACAGAGAGCTATGTCTCCCTTAAAACCTGACGGGAACCACTCTGTCTTATTCTGTCCTCATTATTTGGAACATCTGGCTTCCAAAGTCACCACAAGGGAGGAAGAGAAAGCTAGAGGAATTTGTCGGATTTCTTTTTAGACCCAGGCTTACATCACGTCTGTCCACATCTAAGAAGCCAGAACCCAGCACTTGGAGGCCAGGAAAGTAAACAAGCACCTCGAAAGCTGGTTAACACCGAGAGCCTCTGTCACCATTACAGTTTGCATATTACTGTTAACCCAGTCTTTGCGAGTGACCCCTTCCTGCCCATCGTTGCCTTCCTCAAGACCTAAAATAGCTCCCTATTCAGTGAAAAATCTCAATATTTAAGATCTGCCTTAACATGATCCCCATTGCTGAACTTTACCTCCTGACTCCAAAAACTCTTCTATTCCCTGGGCCCAGTCCTATATTTTCATTTTTATTAAAGGATACGCACTAGATGACTTTGACTCTAGGCATCTGCATTCTCTTGCTCTTCGCTTAGGGTGAAGCTCAGAAAAGGACCTGGTTCTGAAAGGCTGTCTGGAATTAGACTGCCCTACGTGATTCCCCGTGGATTGAGATGAATTTCCTCTGGAAGTCCAAGTCAGATTCGAGAAGCTGAATTACCAAACAGACCCTCCTCAACCTACTAACAACCCTATTCCTCTGTTCACCCTAGAGCAGACAAACAGCAGGGAAGACTTGATCTGTGGACTTTTGAAAGCAACTTGAGGAAAAACACGTAACAGAATCTGTGGGTATGGACAATATGTGATACTGCTAAATAATGTCAAGTAGGAAATAAAAAAGACTGTGGACAGACTTTTGGCTGATGACTGTCTGGGAGTTCTGAATTTTTACTGCCTCGTTAAAAGTAAATTGAGGGTCAGGTATTTTCCTAATACATTCTACCATTTTCAGCAAGATGAGACTGGAACGAATTCAGGATTCGATGGACATCTTTTTTACTCTGTTATCCTTGGAAAAGATACCAGTGGACTGTTGAGCACAGTAGTAATGGAAACAGAGTGGAGATATGGATTTGATGGTTTTCCCTTTGTTCCCCTTTTAAATTTGGTTATCAGAGCCTGTTTTTTTTTTTTTTTTTTTTAATGTGGATACTGTTCCACTTCCTTCTAAAAACAGGAAATGGCCATTTTATCTTTTAATTAATATCTCCCAATATGGCATGTAGTAGTGGAGACCTTAAATTTTGAGGTTTTGGCTTCACCTAATGGCCATTAGTAGGGTCAAATCTTGGAATCAGAAATTGATCAAATTGGAAGAATATCAGCATTCTTAAGGTATAAAGCAAAAAAGACGGGATAGTGTTTGCAGGGGTTTGAGCCTCAAAGAAATGAAATAATATCACTGATGTCAAGCTTTAAAAGGAATTTCAAAGACATGAAATAATATTACTGATGACAAATTAAAGTTTTTGTTTTTTGTTTGTTTCTTTCTTTTGAGACACAGTCTCGCTCTGTCGCCCAGGCTGGAGTGCAGTGGCGCGGTTTCGGTTACTGCAACCTCTGCCTCCCGGGTTCAAGCAATTCTCCCACCTCAGCCTCCCAAGTAGCTGGAATACAAGGCGCCTGCCACCACGCCCAGCTAATTTTTTGTATTTTTAGTCGAGATGGGGTTTCACTATGTTGGCCAGGCTGGTTTCAAACACCTGACCTCATGAGCCACCCGCCACTGCCTCCCAAAGTGCTAGGGTTACAGGTGTGAGCCAGTGCGCCTGGCCAAACTCTTAAGTTTTAAGAGAGAATTGAGTGCTTGCCACACAAAGGCACAGAAGCATTCCACGAATCAAAAGAAAGGTTGGCAATGCTAGAGAAACTTGCAATGGAAAGAATATGGCAGATGGCAAAAAGCTGGGCACCGCAACCTGGCACAGACAGTTGGCAGGCCCACCAATCCCAGAAATGCATCTGGGGTGTCAGGATGCTAGGGCGGCCAGCGGGAGGGTTGGCTAGCTTCTGGGCTCAGGCACACCCACCCCCTCCTCCCCAGGCCTGCATTTCTAAGAATAACCCCCTCTGCAAGTCTGACATAATAAATCACACAGAGCTGAAGATGGAAGCAAAGATACCAGGTGCCAGCCATTAGACCAGATGAATATGTTCATTTTCAATAACCAGCTAGAACTGATTCCTCAGGAAGTCTAAGAGATTGACTGCAATGGATATCAAGTTCCTAAGTGGTCTATGTTATTGAGGCAAGACTCCTGTGGTAAAAAGCAAGTTGAAGTAGACATGTTGAGTTGGGTGATGGGGATCCTAGTGAGGGGGCTTCTCTGAAATGCTTTTACAAGGGTTTGAGTGGATTGGGAAATGTATATACAGATTGACCATTATAATTTGAAATCCAAAATGTGAAGCTTTTTGAGTGCTGAACTAAAGCCACAAGTGGAAAATTCCACATCTGATCTCATGTGATGGGTCGCAGGAAGACCAAGATTTAAGGGGCGGGAAGACAGGACGAGGCTTCAAAGGAGAATGAGTAGATGGAGATAGGTCAGAGAAATACCAGGGGACAGCAGTGTCACAGAAGTCACAAGATTTTCAAGAAAGAGGGAATGATCAAAACACTCCAAGTTGCCAGGTAATCAAGGAAGACAAAGCCTGAGAAGGCTCCACTGGAGTTTATCAGTGACATTTAGCAGTGATATTTACAGAGTTGGAAAGATGATGATATATTGCTAAATGATAAACCCAGGTTACAAAATGTTTGGAACTTGAATACATTTACAATATATTTCCACATATATGCATAGAAAAAGAAGGACCAATACTAAGATATTATCCCTAATTATCTTTGACTAGAAAGCTTATATACTACTTTCTTTTTTTTTTTTTTTTTTTTTTTTTGAGACGGAGTCTCGGTCTGTCGCCCAGGCTAGAGTGCAGTAGCATGATCTCAGCTCACTGCAACCTTTGCCACCCGGGTTCAAGCAATTCTCCTGCCTCAGCCTTCCCAGTAGCTGGGATTACAGGCATGCACCACTACACCCAGCTAATTTTTTGTATTTTTTTTAGTAGAGACGGGGTTTCACCATGTTGACCAGGATGGTCATGAACTCCCGAAGTCAGGTGATCCACCCGCCTTGGCCTCCCAAAATGCTGGGATTGTAGGTATGAGGCAACATGTCCAGCCACTTTATACACTTTTCTTTATCTCTCTTTTTTTTTTTTTTTTTTTTTAGAAACATAGTCGCACTCTGTCACCAGGCTGAGGGCAGTGGCGCCATGTCAGCTCACTGCAACCTCCGCCTCCCAGGTTCAAGTGATTCTCCTGCCTCAGCCTCCTGAGTAGCTGGGACTACAGGCATGCAGCACCACGCCCAGCTAATTTTTGGTGTTTTTAGTAGAGACAGGGTTTCACCATGTTGGCCAGGATGGTCTCGATCTTTTGACCTCATGATCCGCCTGCCTCGGCCTCCCAAATTGCTGGGATTACAGGTGTGAGTCACCGTGCCCAGCCTATCTCCTTTTTATACTTCCCAGTTGTCTCGAGTGAACATGGAATGTTTTAAAATATTTTTAAAACTGCAAATAAAATGAGGAAGCACATTTTAAAATACGTGGAGTGATGAACACCAAATTTAGTACAATGGTTACCTCGTGGAGGGGAAGAGAGGAGATGAGGGAGGGGCTTCAACCTTAGTGTTAATGTTTATTTCTTAAATTAGGTGGTGGGTCCATAGGTGTTGGCTTTAGTCTTTATGCTTCTTGTATGTCTTAGGCATTTCATAATGCATTTAGAAACTAAATACAGAAAATGAGGGCTTTATAAATTTCACTATTTAACTTTTTTTTTTTTTTTTTGAGACAAAGTCTCACTCTTCTCCCTAGGTTGGAGTGCAGTGGTGCAATCTCAGCTCACTGCAACCTCTGCCTCCCGGGTTCAAGTGATTCTCTTGTCTCAGCCTCCCAGGTAGCTGGGATTACAGGCGCTCGCCACCACGCCCAGCTAATTTTTGTATTTTTAATAGAGATGGGGTTTCACAGTGTTGGCCAGGCTGGTCTTGAACTCCTGACCTCAGGTGATCCGCCCGCCTCAGCCTCTCAAAGTGCTGGGATTACAAGTGTGAGCCACCACGCCCGGCCTATTTTACATTTTTAAAAGCCAAAGCCATCATAATTTATCTTTTTAAGGATTTCTAAAAAACTGTTTATTGATGTTTATAGTTGTGTTTTATATTATCTAAAACTCTTCCAGTTGAATTTGTATTTTCATCAAATTCAACAAAATTGCACAGATATATAATTAAGGGATACAAATTCATTATTTTTAAAGCTATAAAAGAAAATGGCTTCATGGGGTTGTTCCTGAGGTGTGGAACCTTCTCCATATTCCACTGCTCTAAGCCAAGAACTTTCCATCAACCAACAAGAACACCAGGTCCACATGGGGGACATTCCCAGATACTCATCAGGTAAAGAACACATGAACCACTTCAAAGAGACCTAACTCCGATTTTCTAGAAAGTCGCCCTGACTTCCCTTCAGAGAGCTGTGTATGTGATTCTGGAAAGTAGCATATGCTTGCTGGACAGTTTTATGTTCCCCCCTAGAAAGTAAGGCACTGCTACTAAACCCTGAGGTGGCTATGGGTTTCTATCCTAAACAGCCGTTTCTCATTCTGTTCTTTGTGAATAGGACTTTTATTTCCTAAACCTGATGTGATTTTCCAGTTGAATGGAGGTGGACAGCCATGGAAACTTGATATTCAGGAAGGTGAAGTGAGACAGGGTGCAGGAAGTACTTCTGTAGGCATGAGTGGATGGGCAGGTGGGATTTAGTGGAAGGTTCACATAGAGACCCCTCCTTGGGGTCTCATAGGCCTATGGAGATGGTCATGGTCACACTGGGCCTTTGCCCCAAAAATCTGTGCTCCAGATAAGCACATGGCTTTCTTGTCACTTTTTCCAAGTCTTTGCTCAGATGTGCCCCCTTCTCAGCCAGGCTTTCTCTGGCCATCCTGTCTAGAAACAGAACTCTGAGCCAGGCACGGTGGCTCACACCTGTAATCCCAGCATTTTGGGAGGCCAAGGCAGTTGGATCACTTGAGATCAGGAGTTCAAGACCAACCTGGCCAACATGGTGAAACCCTGTCTCTACTAAAATAATACAAAATTAGCCAGGCATGGTGGCTCATGCCTGTAATCCCAGCTACTTGGGAGGCTGAGGCAGGATAATCACTTGAAGCTGGGAGCTGAGATCACGCCATTGCACTCTAGCCTGGGCAACAAAGTGAGACTCCATCTCAAAAATTAAAAAATTAAATAAAACAGAACTCTCGCCATCCCTTCCACACTTCCCAGCCCCTGCACTCTCAGCTGTCTTCCCAGCTATGTCTTCCTGACATTTTTACTTTTTACTTTTGTTTACTGTCTGTACACACCTACCCCTAATTAAAATGTCAACACCACCAGAGATTTTTTGTTTTATGTTCTCACCTACTGTCAAAACACTAGCTGGTACACAGCACACACACAGATAATGAGTGAGAAAGTGGAGCTGTCCACAGCAAGGCCCTTCCTGTTTGTTTTTCTTGGGGGTGGTAGTGGTGAGGGGTGAGGCTGGGAGAGGAGAGGGCTGAGACACACCTTTATTTCAACTCTGATAACACTTTTTCATCTTTCCTGCTTATTTTGTTATTATTATTTTTTGAGATGAAGTCTCACTCTGTCACCCAGGCTAGAGTACAGTGACACGATCTTGGCTCACTGCAACCTCCACCTCCTGGGTTCAAGCGATTCTCCTGCCTCAGCCTCCCAAGTAACTGGGACTACAGGCACCCGCCACCATGCCTGCCTAA